TAGAAATGTAGGCCGAAAACTGCCATTGGCTCACCACTAATCGGAGAAAAACTGTCACATCGCAAAGACGCTGATTTGGATATCAAGTCGGGTAAACTCTTTTTGCTACTGGGGCATTCTGAAGACATTCAAAATAAACTGCAAGCTTATCAACAGCTTTATCGTTAGTAAAATGCATTTGATAAGCACAAAAATTGCTCAAAGTAATTATTATACGGCAGCTATTGACAACTATTGACAATTATTTGTGGGTTATTTATGATTTGATTAGGTATTTGTTTTGTTGTAATCCATGGCCTGCGTCTAATGTCTTTTTCGTATACACCCATAGTGAATTATGCATTTAAACAATAAGAATGCTTTTTGTTATTAGCATTACTTACTTTAGCGATATTTTGTAATATTTATGAATTAAATGATTTTATTCTGATGAATAAAAGGAATTCCAGAAAAATAAGCTTAAAAGAATAAAATTATTTCCATAAAAAAGGATAATGCCAATGCAAAAACGCCCTCTGCCGGACACACGTAAAACTAACAAAACATAAAATATTATAACGCTTGTAGCCCAAGAATAGCTCTTTTCAACTAGCCCAAGTTTGTTAAAATTGGCTCAGCCGTTTTGAAGACACAGAGTGTTTTTTTATTGAAACCTTTGAATACTTAACCTACCACTATATTTTCAGAGATCAGAGAGATTTTAGAGATCAGGTATTTTTTGTTATGGCAATATAGCGGAATTCACAGAAACATCGCTTTTTTTTAATCATGATTGCAGTTACGCCCCCTAGCGGCCATTTCAGAAACTTGAAAATATGTTCAAGGTTTTTATCTTGGGCGTTTTAGTACAAACAGATACAGTACCTCGCATTCTTATTTGGCCACCCTGTACATACACGAAGAACCATGTCACTCATACGTCGGTATGTCTGTCTGTCTGTATGTTTGTCCGCTAATTCTTGAACCGCCTATAACTTGCTAAGTAGCTTCCGAATCTTGATGAAATTTGATATAAGAATCTTTGTATTTTTTAAAATCGGTCCAGTATCGATAGTGCTAAGGGCCAAAACATGAAAAAAATACAAATCGCTCAATCTTCGTTTTTGACATTTCAGGCACCTGATCATTTCCAAAAAAATATGTAGGTGTTGAAATTTGTGGATTAGGGATCGCAGGGGGAGGAGATTATATGATAATGTTTTGATGTTAGTATGTTTATATGCTCCCAATTCCGGTAATTATATGAACGTATAAGCCATATTTTTCGATCCGGGTACTCCCACTATTTAAAGTCACTGGTCCGGCTGACTAATCTATCCGTACTACAGCACAAAAACATATACACGGATCATGAATTAAATCAACGATAAACAGTGACTAATGGAATGGCAGCGAATGGATTTTCATGGACTAGTTGTATGGACCTATTTGACTGACTTAATCCGTTTAATTTCGGTGTTGCCAATGTTCGTAACTGACTTTTTCTCTCAGATGATTTGAAATGCGCTAAACTTATCCTTTATAAACTGATGACGGCGTCGCGTATCAAGTGCAGAAGCCAACCTACTTTATATAGTAACAAAACTTATCAAATTCTATAGAAAATTTGATGGAGTTTTCGAGTTAAATATTGTAGCTTCATTTTTGCACAGGGTGAAGCCATGCAGTTGTAAAACGAGATGTCTTGGATAAAGATTTAGCAAATTTGTGAAAACTGTTGCATGAATCAATCTAAAATTTTAACTAATCCTTAGCATCAATATGCTACCTCTTCTGGAAATAAGTAAAAGTTTTCACCAACTTTTGTAGCTTTTATTGCTCACGTAATGATATACTAAGTGACATATAAATCCGAACACCCAGTTTAAATGGTTTTATTTTAATAAAAGTTGGTGAATGTATTTATCTTACTGTAAATAACAAGTGAAAAAATTTTCAGCCTTATCAGTTGGTCATTCCGGTTTTTATACTGCTTTTTTTTAATTCAAAGAATCAACGTTGGCGGATTTTGGTTCTTGACATCCTTTACGATCGGATACGATGCCTAGAGTACGGAGACCTGTACGATTTCGTCAACTTAGTGAGTTTGATAGGAGCCGTATAGTGGGACTTCGGGAAGCTGGACTTTCTTTTCGGGCAATTGCAGTTAGAGTGCAAAGAAGTGTAGACACTGTGGTTAGGTGTTGTCAGGCATGGCTTCGAGAAGGCCGTACGCAAAGTGCAAGGGGCACTGGACGCCGCCGTAGGACAACAGACCGTGAAGATCGCCGCCTAAGATTATTGGCCTTAAGGGACCGTTTCTCCACTACCAGGTCCATTGCAAATGAATGGTTTGCAGAACACGGAAGACCTATTGGCGTGCGAAGTGTTTACCGACGAATGAGAAGTTTTGGCTTGTTTTCATACCGGCCACACTGGGTCCTCCCTTTAACTCGAGAACACCGACGTAATCGCCTTGAGTGGTGCAGACAACGGTCACTCTGGGATCAGGAATGGAACAGTATTGTCTTTAGTGACGAGTCTCGATTTTGTGATGGTCGTGCCAGGGTTAGAAGGCGACGTGGTGAAAGGAGGAATCCACAGTTATTTGTTGAAAGACATGTTCATCACATTGTTGGAGTTATGGTTTGGGGTGCTACAGCTTATGGTTCCACGTCACCTTTAATCTTCATCAGAGGTAACATGAACGCGCAGCGTTATATCCACGAAGTTCTAGAACCCCATCTTTTACCCTATCTTGACACCCTGGCAGATCCAACTTTCCAACAAGATAATGCCCGACAACATGTTGCAAGAGTCACAATAGACTTCTTTCAACATAATGATGTCACATTGTTACCATGGCCACCAAGATCTTCCGACTTAACCCCAATTGAGCACATGTGGGATATGATGGGTAGGAGATTGCTCAATTTGCAACGTCCTCCTCAGACTCTAGAAGCACTTCGAGAGGAGTTGGTGGTTGCCTGGAATGAGATACCACAGGAGGACATTGACCACCTGATCAGAAGCATGCCTAGGCGCGTTGGAGAATGCGTAGCACATCAGGGTGCATCCTCACATTATTAAAGGTCAAAGGGCTTTAAAGCAGTGCAATCATTTTGAAATTTTTATCATTTACTTATTATGCTTCATTAAGTACTTATAAAAAATTTTATTAAAATAAAACCATTTAAACTGGATGTTCGGATTTATATGTCACTTAGTATAATAACTAACCTTAACCGTCTTCAGAGGATTCCTCAGCAACGTGTCAACCTTTTAACTTGCTTTAACCGCCATTTTGAAGGTCTTACAATATACTACAAGAATGTTGCCTTAAGTTTCCATGAACATGGAGTATACTCTAAGTGGGATCAAACATATAGAAAAAATGCAATTTTGGCAACTTAATTGCTTAAAAGTCTTCGAATTTTCCGAATTATATATATATATATATATATATACATTTTGTTACTGTTGACCTATAGAACCTGAAAGAACCATCGATTTTCTGTTTTTGGAATAGTCCTGGCAAAATCGTAATTACCCTGGTTTATTGCTACATGCAAATTATACTAGTAACGCATAGGTAATATAAAAAATATTATATTCAAATATGCCGCCAAAATGTCGTGAAATGTTGCGTGGAAAAGTAGAAAACATATAGCTTGTGAGTTCAAATGTCAAATCTACGAAAAGGGTCAGTGAATGCACACTCAGAAAAAGTATATCTCAGCCTTCATCTTTTAGTTTTTGTGTGATATTGAGACGTATTTATAAAAGCATATCCTCGGAAGCATAAGGTAAAAGTATAAAACCTGGCTTCGGACAAAAAGGTAGAAGTATAAGCATAACCTTGTTTCATATTCATAATGAGTACCTTATACTTGCGAGGATATCCACCAAGACTGGTATTTGCATCTTGAGCGACATGTCCTGACTTGTTCCAGCTTGTAGTTGTCGTGGGAGTCGTTCAAGCAGCATCACTGACAGTTGTACTACAGAGCTTACCCAGACCGTTCCCTATTTTTACTGGATACAGTTTTTTATCAAATTAATAAGCATGTCATCGTCAAGTGATGAGGAAACTATAGAAGATAATGGCAACGACCTGCAGTTCATCGCAGATGAAATTGCCATTGCTCCCATTATTTTGCAAAAGTTACAAGTTCCAAAAATAAAAATGAGAAAAGACGATGCCTTGAAGAAAATACGAATCAACATTCGGTAAACCATTATATACTAAAGGCTTATTAAAAAAATCAACAACATCGAATCAAGATTGAAGAAAAAAACAGATCTAAAAAAAACTAGTAATAAAGCAATTAAATTGTTAGATTGGGAAAGAAAGTTGCTGAAAGCTATGGAAGATGACTGTAATCCTACAATTGGGAAAATTCGAGATGCCATTCAGGTTGGTAGTGTTCAAGAAGACGGAAGTGAACTATATACCGAGCGCAGTGAGCAAACAGTTAGTACGAGTATCACAGCGCCAGCAATTCAAAAGACATTGCCACCAAAAAGAAAATTAGCAACAGAGAAATACGAAACTGAGGAAGCCAAAGGGTTAACTACAAAATAACTGCAACTTCTCGTGCTACTACAGCAGTACCAAACAAGCATTTTACAGCAAGAGTATTATAAAACGAAATTAGAAATGATGCAGCGTCAGCAGCCACCTGTAACTTATGATGTTCACGAAAACAAAACTTATTATAACTTATAAATACACTTTTAATCAGTAAAACTATTTATTATAATACTCAAGTTTTTTCTTATTTGTTGACCTAGTTGGCGGAGAGGAAGTTAGTCATTCTCATGATTTCCTTCATCTTCATCTGGGTCTTGTTCAACTAACTCAAAGTCAGGATCGCCCAAGCCCAAGCAGTAATTATTTTCGGCACATTTTCCAACTTTGCGCGGCAAACATACTGTAGGATAGGAAACCGGCGTTTCGGTTGGCCGAAACAGCGTTCAATTATAACTGTTTCTTGTTTTAAAAGGTTATTATAATTTACTTCTGCACCTGCAGTAGGATTTCTGAAGGGAGTCATAAAGCACGGCTCAATACCATAACCGTCATCGCCAAGTAGTACAAAATTTGCTTTATTTATTAGTTGTGATCCAGTCTTTGAATTTCTCCATATTCTGGAATCATGCACTGATCCAGGCCAACTGACATCAACACTTGTGAACATCTCTCTGTCATCACAAGTGGCTTGCACATTTAAAGGAGGTTTCCCTTTTCGGTTGATATACTCATCTCCCTGGCGATTTGGTTTCAGGATTCCTATATGTGTATCATCAATTACACCAATTGCTGTCAGAAATTTATACATGTGTTGCCATATCCGCTTGGCCTCCATCAGTTCATGGTTGGTAGTTGGAAACTTGACCCATTCGTGCAACTATGCTGTTTACAACTCTATCCACAGTCCGAGATACCGTTGCTTGACTAACACCAAGTTCCTGACCAATACCTTGTTGATATCCAGGGTTACCGAGATAGCGTAGACATATCTTCATGTTATGAATTCATGAAAGTGCTCCTCCTCGAGTTTCCTCATTCTCAACTAAAAACCTGTCCGCAAGCCATTGTACATTTGCTTTGTCGAACCGATATAATTTTTTGAAGACACGACCAAGTGAAGGTAAACCAGGTTTGTACGTTTTAACATCCCTAACATCTACAATTTCCGCCATCATCGTTTGACCACCTTTCGTTACGAAGTTGAGTCTGCTACTGATCACACTCAGAATTTTTGAAGGATATGCTTCCTATGCCAAGTATAAGGTGAAGATTATGAATATCCCTTTACTTATGTCACTGCTTTGAAGGATATGATTTTACTCAAAGAGCAAAAGCATTTACTTCAAATTGTTAGAAGTACCATCTGGAGGATTTGTTTTATGAATACGGCTCATTATCAACAGATGTTGGAAATCATCCTGGCCGACATCATTTCGTTGACCGCTGAACTGAATAGTTGTACTGAAGCGACACAACTGCCGTAGATTTTTAAGCCACGATGGATGTTGGATTTAAAATAGACTAGAATTGGACAAGATGGCAGTTATAAACACCTAAATCCTAGTCGATCTTCTAGCCCATTGTCTGATCTAATGCATGGCTAGCAAAAAGTTATTCATTGTCCTAACCACCCCATTATATGCTCAAAATGGATTCCAGTGGGAAGGCTAACATCGTTCTCCGAGCAGCATTATTTATCAAGTTTTATCTAACGAGGTCCCGCTGAAGTTCACACGTGCAATTTGTAACCGAGATGAGCTCCCTTCCCCATTGTTTCGGTGGAAAAGTTGGAATTTGTCTTAGTTTTTCGCGGCAGAGCGCAAGCGATTCGTTCCTTAGAGCCTTAATGGAGGCTCGTTTAGAGTCCCGCAGACAGGCATAAATCAACCATTTTATATCGTCTGACCGTTAACTTGATGGTAATACTACCTATAAATCACGGAAGATTCAACACTTTTTACCGTCGACACCGACATGTGTGGAGTATATAGTTTTTAGGTTGTGTCTTCATTTTTAACGTTAATATAAGCACAACCCATTATACAATATCAAGACCGGCTGTTATTCAGCACACTAGTACCTTCTCCGCAATTAAGAAAATAGAAACGACGAAGTGGTATCACTGAATGAGCCGACCGCAACTTAAGCGTGCAGACCCATCGAAAGGGAGGAAAGCGAAGAGAAGTGGAACTCCTTTGCTGGGTTCTTATACACTCAATCACGGGAGAGCCCGCGCACTGGAGCAACGCGAAGTGAAGCAACGTGTCAGGTTTGATGCGCGCAAATCTTGAACTTCGGCCATGGTATGTCTCAAATGAGAAAGAACGGGGGAGTTGTGGCTTTTGTCCGCCGCAGTATTTCCTGCTCCAGAGATGTTTCTTTAGAATCAGACCGGAAGGACATTCTCTGGCCAATTTTATTTGCTGCCTTTATCGCTCCATAACTGGGATGTTCTACTTGAATACCTCACCGTCAAGATCGACTTCCTGAACATCAATCACCCCGCTTCAGAGGTATTCCTCCTCGGTGATTTGAATGTCCATAATAAGCTTTAGTTGGGCCCAAACAAGACCGATGCAGCATGTCATGCAGTTAAAGCGTTCGCTCTTACTCAAGGGCAGACCCAGCTGGCGACAAACCCTAGTATTCTCTCTTGCGTCTCGTCACATGCCAGTGTTTCGATGGATGGCCGAGTTCTGCCAAAGAGCCGTTCACTTTGGCTGGTCGGAGTTCAGATCATCGAGGACTTGATCGGGCATGAACACATCTCGTCAATAGCGGCGGCTGCTGGGAAAAGGCTAGGCTGTTTGTTTAGGGCTAAGAAGTACTATTTTCCGCATGAACTTCTCACTCTATACAAGGTCCAGATAAGGCCTAGCCTCGAGTATTGCTCACACGTTTGGAGTGCTGCAGCCCCGACCACAGTACTCGATGCTGTCCAGCGGAGAGCTATCTGACTGATCGATGACCCTTCTCTAATGGACAGTCTTGGGACCTTTCGCGTCGGCGATCTAGCTCTCTTCTATCGCTACTCCAACGGACTTTGCGCCCCAGAGCTCTCTTCCATGATGCCGCCGCGCGATGTGCGTACCAGACAGACCCGCCAGACTTTAGTCTCCCATGCTAACCGTGTCAACCTTCGTACATCCAGAACTGGCTGATACGATAACTTCTTTGTCCCGAGAGCGTCGAGGTTGTGGAACAAACTACAAGAGGAAGCTTTTCCCAGTTCTAAAGGGTGTCCCAAAATTAACGCAAGATTTGAATTAAATAGAAAATGCCATTTTTAGTCTTTTAATAGTTATATTTTTATTGACTCATAAAGTACATAGGATAGGGTTATGTATGGAATAACACATCGGACAAATGGCCTCCACGGCTTTGCATGCACATGCGCACTCTTTTGTCGAAATTTTCCATGACCCTTCTGCATAAATGTGGCTGAATTTCGTTGATGCAGCGTTGAATCTCCTCCTTTAATGCACGGGTGGTTGTGGGCTTGTTGACATAGACTTGTGATTTCAAATAACCCCATAAAAAGAAGTCTAATGGTGTTAAATCACACGATCTAGGAGGCCAATTTTGATCACCGAAACGAGAGAGTACACGACCGGGAAATGTCTCATGCAGTAATTGAATTGTTTCACGGGCTGTATGACATGTGGCACCGTCTTGTTGAAACCACATATTGGGTACATCAATATCATTCAATTTTGGCAGAAAGAACTGTGTAATCATGTCGCGATATCGAGCACCAGTAACAGTCACTGCTTGACCAGCATCATTTTCAAAAAAATATGGCCCAATTATGCCTCCAGCCCAAAATCCACACCAGACAGTCACGCGTTGTGGGTGCATTTCTTTTTCGACAATCACACGTGGGTTCTCCAAACCCCAAATGCGGCAATTTTGGCGATTGACAAAGCCATCAAGATGAAAATGTGCTTCATCGCTTAGGATGATTTTGCTTGAAAAATCAGGGTCCATTTGTTGATGTTCAATAATCCATTCAACAAACTCTCTTCTCTCTGCATGGTCATTAAGCTTCAATTGTTGTGTTAATTGAAGTTTGTAAGCATGAAGACACAGATCTTTGGTGAGTATACGCTGTAGAGAGGTTCTTGACATTTGCAATTCTTGTCCACGACGTCGAATTGAGGTTCCTGGATTGTCCGCAACACTCTCACGCACTGCTTCGATATTCACATTTGAACGGCTTGTTTTTGGACGACCAGTGTGTTTGGCGTCTCCAACGGATCCAGTCTCCATGAATTTTTCAATTAATCTCTTCACAGTTGACGAAGTTAAAACACTATTCCGGCCATATTTTGTATGAAATTTTCGAACTGCAGCCGCCAAGCTTTCACTATTTTTGAAATATTATTTAATAATGAAGACACGTTGTTCTATCGTGTAACGCTCCATTTTTCATAACCCTATACTGTTAGCTGTCAAATTGCTTTTTTTCAGGGTTGCCAACACTTCACTGCACAAATGGCGGCAAATTCAAATCTTGCGTTAATTTTGGGACACCCTTTACTAACCTTACGCAGTTCATAGCAGCCGCGGTGCCCTGGCATTTAGTCTTCTGCCCGCGCGGCTGCTTCGGTATTTATAAAAAAAAAATCAGAGATACCTTGACATTCCTACTTGAGGGATTATGTCAAGCTCCAGGTGCAGCGACGTTATAGTCAAGCGAAATCGCACAGCAACACTCTGTTGCATAACTCAGTGGACCACATAGTGGAACAAGTTCGTAAACATTCAAGGCTACGGCTCACAAAATTAGCTCACTTTTAGTAAGCCCAAAATTATACCCTAACAAAGCCTTTTCCTTTGTCGTTGACATTGTCTGACTTCTGGGCAACCAGGACTGACAGATTCAACTACATTAGACAGTAACTAATGGGCAAAGCTACTGACCGCCCAGACAAACAAATTGCAAATAGAATCTTGAAATTTAGAAAATTCTGTGAATGTTGATGAGTATGAACATTTTTAAGGTAATGAATATTTTGAAAGATGTGGCAATTTTGGAAACTTTGAAAATTACCAAAACTAGAGGTGTTTCACAAACGTAAAAATCTTCCAAATTCTGAAAATTTAAAATTTCGAAAAACTGCTACAGCCTACTATTCTGACACAGCAGCCAACATAGAGGGCAGTCTTAGCTGTTGATGGGGCAACCCATCTCGTAAACAAAAACTTTTGATCACACCTTGTAGGAACCACCCACTAGATGCTACGCAGGTTCAGGCAACTTTATATGTCTCGAAATATAAGGCGTTTGTGAATCCTTGTAACTTTCACGTTTATGTACCTCATTAGGTTCGTTTTATATCGCCGTTAGCCCGTGTGTCGGCCATATGAAGGCCATAATGGGACTGCGCCTCCTCGTTCCAATTCGGACCACATATGGTGATAAATACGAGAAATGTAAATGTTTTCGCTATATTTAATATTTAGTATAAGATATTATGCGAATGAAGCCAGGGTTATGGTTTTAGGTGTAACTGGTATACTCTCAACCACCTACAGAAACGATAACAGAAACAATTAAATATATGATTTTTTTCAGAATATTTCTTAATGTGTATTTTGTGACCCACGTTTTTTAAAAGATCATGCCTACTTGTTTGCTTTCCATTCGTTTACCCTCAGGACTAGACCTATACCACTGATGAGCACGAAACAGTACTGCCTTCGATTGGTCATGGTAAGAGAGACAAAAAGCAAACATGTCCTTGTCAGCCTGTGTCCATGTACATTATGTATATACACCTAGAAAGTCATTGCTGGTTTGCTCTGGAAATATTTAGTATTGCGACTTCTTGACTGGTCGACCGAGAAGACGTAAGAGACCTCTTCACCTTCGATAGCATGAGGATGAAAATAAACTTGACAGGCCAGTGGTAGGTGGCATTCGTCAGATACTTGCACACATGTTAGACGACTATGAAAGTTTTGGGCTTAAGTATAACAGATGTAAGTTTGCTGAAAAATTCTATAAAAAGTAGCCCTTCCAGCTACACCTGTATAAGATGAAGATGAATAACTTGCTTATTTTAAGTGGAACTGCAGTATATTATTCAGTAATTGGATTTTATATAGTATAAGTGTTAAACTTTTGTATTTTTGTTTCAGAATGACATGCCATACAAACACAGGTAAGCTTTTGTAGAAGGTGTAGAGTAGTGTAGAAAGAACCATCATTTGATGGAAAAAGGAAATTGTAACGACTTCACCATATTCAAGGTGTCAATAGACCATTACGCCAAACGACCTGAGATGCTAAGAAAAAACATAGGTCTAGTAATGCTCCATTTTTAAGATGCAGAACGTACAGACAGTACGCCCAACATTTGTATTAAATCAAAAAAACGTGTCAATAAAAAACAAACACCCAAAGATGGAATGGATTTAAATTGGGCTATCTAGATGTCCATCTCAACTTGTGATTATGATTGAAAAAGCATTTATTCTTATGTCATTTTAGTTGAAATTTCGTCGATGCGTCCGTAACCTTTTATAGAAAGGACTTGAAGGATTATATTTTTTTTTAAGTATTTTCTTATAAATTGAGAGCCTGTTCCTTTTTATTTAGAGTTAGGCAAGGATTCGCCAGTTGAGCTACTTTTTATTAAAACCCTGTATATTCCCCATTCATTTCAGTATTTGCAGATTTCAAAAACACAATAAACTATGACTTACCAGATTTTGGACGATAACATAAAATCAATCAATACATTTTCTATCACTGTTTTCTATGATCCTATAAGTTTGTTTATCTAAAACCATTATGAGCGTCGTAGCTTCGTCTACTTAAGATACATGTTACCTAAGTATACAAAGTTTGATTCGCTTATAAGAAAATATCACCATACAAATTCTTATATTCCTGTTCAGACTTCCTATAAGAGAATCGTATCTGTTATTTAAAGGAAAACCACTCTTCTATGTAAAATAGGAGCGTCGGTGCCGAATCTGACATCAATTTGACCCTAGTACCAGCATATGAATTTTTCATATTCACATTCGGCGTTTCAAATTACCTGAGTGTACAAAGTTTCATCCACTTATAACAACAGGAAACAAAAACGGAAACAAGCTACCGCATCTTAAAGATGAATATGAATATATTGGTATTTCCAATGACTGGAATTATTCGCACATTTGTCGGCCTATAATATCAGGAAGTGGGATAAAACTCAGTCATCTTACTGCCACGCTAATGTTTTGATTTCGTGCAATTCCACATCGAACAATGAATAAATGAATGACACTCCAACAAAAATGGACGATGTATGAAATTGGGTGAAAGAGGCCTACCATCCATTCCATTTGAAAAAAGCTCTCCCAAAACACCCAGCAACATCTCCTTAACCTCGCCAAAGTGCAAGTGTGATATATCCGTGATACTTTCCAACCATATATTATCTTGAGAGAAACCGTCCGCGCTACAAAGCATGAATAATGGCTTTGTTATTTCAATGTCGCGTATTCCTGTTTCAAATAACGCGCTCTGAGCGCACCAAATGACGGCCGGCGCCGGATAAAAAATTCGAAACCCTCTGGAAATCAACAGCCGTGAACTTGTTTTTGTGTCGCGGACTACGTGTTCCGTGTGCAATTTATGAGGATTAACTAGGAAATCAAGCAGTATAGATGGACTTAGTAGCTTTTGCGCATTGTAGGTGTACAGCCTCCCTATACAAATTATATGCATCTCGATAATGACTTGATTCCGAAACAGTAACAACATTTTTCAGATTTCAAAATCTTAGATATAGGAAAACAGATCAGGTATGACTGAAGAAAGCCAAAGTTTGCAAGATATAACTAGAAAAATTTGCAATTTTCAGGAATATCTTTTCGGACTATTTTTTACTATAGGAAATATTAACCTGAAAAATGTGCAATAAAGTGATTCAGAAACTCGAAAGTATGCAAAATAAATTTTCAGATGCTTTAACCTTCAAAGGCTATAAAACGAGAAAAGGAAGATCGAAAATAATAAATTTTAATATTAATAGCACATAAACTATTCAAGCAAGAGAAACCGCAAGCTCAAAATAATTTCCAAATAAAAATCCGAATTCCAAAGTTCTTGATATATTTCTTTAAATAAATATGTAAAACAGGGCAAATAATAATAATAATAATAATAAAAGGTCTTTATTGGAATATAAATGTGCGTAACATCTTATTCCTGATAGGCGGAGTCTAGATAATCCTATTCCACTCAACCTACTCCAATAATAATATCGGTAACTAAGGAGAATATTGCAACATATAAATATTGTGCAGCGTACAATAAATACATATTCAAAAATTCTATAAGTACGTTAGAGAAAGAGGACACTATGAAATTTAACACAATAAATGGAAGAAAAAGAAGATATAGTAGGATAAAGAATAAGAATAAACTGAATTAATCTGTCAAAATAACGCTAACGATGTAGAAGAAGCTGTTTAGCTTGTATTTTCATAGGCGATTCTTATATCTGAAGTTGAAATCCGTTCTACTACGGCGAACGACAAACTTTTTATAAAGATTGAAAGAGGATTGTGTAATCAATATTTTATGAGTAAGAGTGAGCATTTGATATTTGTAAGCTTCGTCCATAGATAACCAACCGAGCTCACTAATGTAACATGAAATATGATCATACTTCTTTAAACTAAAAACAAATCTACAACAACTGTTTTGCAGCTTTTGCATCCTGATCTTAGTGACAGCATCGAGGTACGAGTAATAAACTACATAGCAGTAAGAGACTATAGGAAAGATTAGCGTGTCACATAGTTTTTTCCTAGTTTTGTAATTCAATATACATTTATTAGAATAAAGACGTTTAAGAACAATATAACCTTTCTTCAGAATATTAGCAACATGCTCCTTAAAACGTAAAGAATCATCAAACACTAGACCTAAATTCTTTGCTTTATCCACCACTGGAAGAGCTATTCCATCAATCTGTATATTTAAGGAATGGTATAAAATTGATCGGATACTATTAGAACAAAGCAGCATAAGATTACGTTTATCAGGATTTACCTTAAGGTTTAGAGTATCTCACAATTTCTTCAAGACCCATATTAATCATCAAAATGATAATCATAAGCCATATACTCAGTGATTCAGAATATGCGTAGCAATATTTCTAGAACATATGTAAAGTAAATAAAAGTAACTAGAAAATCTCATATAAACATGGATACCAAAATGTCCTTACGGAGATACAGGTTGCTGAAATTATAATTTTTCAATCTAGATAAACTTACTGGTGGTTTAAGATATTAGTTAGCTAAAAATGCAGGTTTGTGCATGTAGTACTGACACCAATGCCGATACATACAGATTGTAACAGTGGCGTAGAAATTGTAAATTTTTTACCTCTAGAAAATAAAAAAAGAAAATTACTTTTAACGCCTTTCACTTTCACATACATCGTCTATTAAAAAATGTCCCTGAGACTACTCTTTTTAGAGAATAACTGGTTAGCATATTTGAGGTAAAATCAGTATAGTGTTTTGTCCTTATTCAGTCTCATCAGTGGCATAGAAACTTGTATCTTGGTAATGGAACATCTTAGGACCTTTATTTATAGAAAGATCTTCTGGTATTTTCTGATGTACTTTTCACCCAAGAGAACGTAGTCAAGTTTTTCTGAATCAGCCTCTATTAAACTATAAGGATTGCAATAAGATGGCAAGGTACATACGTGGAGATGTTAGTATTAAACTATTGGTATTTCTTCCTCCTTAACATTTTGATTATTGAAATCAAAACGTAGGTGGAATATTAATGAAAAAAATGACAATTAGAAATTATAAACTCCTGTATTTTGAGAAAACTCTGTGAAATTGTGACAAAGAGAATAACTTGTCTCCTGGATAAAAAAACTTGTTCGTAAATCTCGACTCATTTTTACCTCAAATTCAGACCGACGACACTTACTTATTTTCTTAATATTATATTCGTATTCAGCAGCGTATAAGTTTTATGGAAATAAAGTACCATCTATGACCAGAAACGATCACCGTCTGACAATATAAGCTGAGACACAGTTCCAACAGTCAGCTTGATGTTTTCACTTTTCCAGTGATCGGTTCTGGTAATAGATGGCACTTTGTGCTGTCTTATACCGATAAACTTTATAGTGTAAGTAGAGTTGTTCAGCTTTTGTCCACCGAGACCTAGCCTACACTATGCTGAAGAGTTTCCAAATGCTCGAAACAGCTGTCCATGGTTAGCCGCCTGTGGTCGGACGAATGTAAGCTATGCTACTAGCTTGGTCTATATCAGTTTTTGATTTTCGTATGAAAAACATTCTCGGTGAACTCGTGGGTCCCACAGCAACAGATTCTCTACAATAAATTCAGCCGCCTGATATTTTACGAATTTTTGGCGATCATATAAATCAGCCCCACAAATTATTAAGTACTCGTACTGCACCATACACTTGATAACAGGCTGGAGTGATATTTAGAAGATTTATTTCTTTCAGAATGGGGTCTGAGTAAAGGGACTAGGATACAAAAAGACGATTTCTGTACTGTACTTTGTAAGTTATGGGCCTTCAAGGCCTTGTAGAGCTGTTATATATTTCTGACAAACGCTACAAATTCATTGAGTAAGACAATGCCTTGCAAATACCACCTTCCAACTTTCAGTATCCAATTTATTGTCTCTATATGATCAGTGCTATTCATTCTTCGTGAGGTAGATGATAAAACTTAAATAAGTTATAGATCATTGTTCGATTAATTGAATATTGAAGTAGGCGCGGTAATTGATTTTCTCAATGAATACGTCTCCTTGGAATGGAACTTAACTTCAGTCAAGTACTTATGGTCAACATAAGATCGGTATTGATTATGAATTGTTTACTTTAAATCTTGCTTGAAAATGTGTTCCTATACATTATGTGTCATCTATAAGGTAAATGTATGAACCTTATCCATACATATACAGTGATGTTAGGCAGTGGGGACGTGATAAGGAGTGTAAGTGTTAGCTCTGGTACAATGACGACTTCTTATTGATCCATTCTGATCCGGATCATGAATTTTTGATCCCTCGAATCAATAGGAAAATCGGGCCTTATGATCACTTGATGTCGTGTATGAAAACTTACTCTGATGTAGAAACTAGAGCTGTCATGAATTCACGGTCAAAATGGTAGTTCCTATTTGAATTAACAAACCTGAGGTCTCAACACAAATAGAACATAAGTCAAATATCTACAGAAATAATTTCATACAACGAAGCAGTGCAATCAAATAAAAGCTGCCGGGGTGATGGGAAACAGGCTTATGGCATATCGAACGGTAGATATATGAACGTAAATAAAGAAAATAGTTGATTACAATAGTCATACAGGGCATTCATTGCATTAACCCTTATTTCTTTATTGTTCAAACATTTTTCATCTGCACTATTATCGTATCGATATTGAGAGACTGATGTGTTTGCTAAACTCCTCTGAAGTACAATTTATTGCTGATAACCTGGATCCATTCAGTTCCTGGCTTTTCTCCCGTACTAGAGTCCTCATTTGCCCGTTGGCAGCTCAGGTAATAAACCATTCAAGGCTATTGAATGATAAATTGACAGAAGGGTTCTTTTTTAGCGAGACTGACAGACGCTTGGCCTCCGACCGGCATTTGATGAAGGGGCCATTCACTTTTTTCAGTCGTCTTCTCGCATCGAACAAATTAATGGTCTGTCCGTAGTTGTGTTGCTAATGCTGATCGAAGATGTAATTATCTGACACGAGACGCACTGCAACCGGACATCTGGATATAGGAATTCCATATTCCCCATGTTGCAGAACAGAAAAATCAGCCGGAAGAGTCAGTAGACTGGGCTGTAGAAGTTATGTGACACTCTGAAAGGTGATTTCTACAAAAATCATTAACTTTCCAAGACCAACATAGAGGATTCACCCCTCCTTGTAGATTAGTAACCATCACTATATTTTTGAATAGAGGAGGATGGTAGTCTTGGCTGACTAGCTAAACTAGATAAACAGCTTACCGCAAGCGAAGTCAGGCTAGAAAGAACGTGATTCTTTGCTCAAGTGAAGCGTTCGAAAATGTTTGTATCTTCTGCAGGACATGCTACGAAGAATATTGAATGTCAATGAAAGTCATTGGAATATCACAGAAGAAGTCACTTGCAATGTCTTTCAAGACGAGCAATCCAAAGGAAAAACGGAGAAAAACCATTAATTCACGTACACCATCAAGAATGTATAGGTCGCAAAATAAAATATTGTTCAATAAGAACACTAATATTAAAAATACTATAAAATTATTTGATTTCCATAGTTTAAATAATAATGGTCGCCTTTATTAGAGGTGAAGCTTAGTATATATAGTGCTATTCTACCACTTGACCCCAAAACCCAAAACAAAACACAAACCATAAAAGATTTTAATGTTACAATAATGAGCTAAAAAATAGCTATATAAAAAAGGTATCAAAATATGTCTTATAAGAATATCTTGTATAAAATATATAAGGTATAATAAACCTTGAAACTAATTTGTGAAGCGATAGATAAATTTCAGCAAATCATGAAGAATATTTATCCAAAATCTGTTTTTCGACACGTCTTTTAAATTCATTTTATACCTATTAACAATTTTAAGATTTGTAGAATTTCGTTATAGTTTCTAAAATTTTGACAATACGGCATGGCGGTTACTGAATTAACTAAGAATCGGTGTAGAAACCAACAAATTGAATTTAATTACTTGATTGGAAGGCAAGCATCCAGTGATTCCATTTTCACGACTGCATAGATTTGCAAACAACTTGATGAAAATGCCGAAAACTATCCCTTCTCGTACTCTTTCACTTCGATATTCTCTCAAGTCAAGAACATAATACCCCTTTTCTAGTAGCTCTAGTAGCTCCTTTCTCGCCTCGGGAGTATCCTGGTCGCTATACCTGTAAATTAACTACAACCAATTGTATCATAGCTTACTTTTATTTCATTTGATAAATTATAATTGTATTTTTTGGAAATCACTTACCCATGAAACTTCTTCCGATGGCGGCTATACAATCCTAAAAGATAAGTTTCTCCAAAGACTCTACCAATAATGCCTACTCATTTTTCGTTTCAGGCAGACAACGATCCTGGAATGTAGCTAACATAGAACCTCACCGGTCCTTTTTTCAGCCCTGTAATAAACACAGATTATTTTTTTACAAAGAGATTTAAAGCTATGGGGTTGTCCAAAACGGACGCAGGAAAGTAAACGCATATTAAAACAAGAATTTGATATTCAAATCAAGTTGGGTACTTTATTTTGAAGGTCCATTTATACCATTTATGTATGAAAAATAATATCGCTCAAATGTTCACCACGACTGGATTTACAGACGTCCACGCGATGGTCGAAATTTTCAATGACATTTTGCAACATGGTCGGTTCTATGGCATTTATCTCGGCAATGATGTTGTTTTTGAGTTCTTGGAGGGTGGCTGGTTTGTTGACGTAGACTTTGCTTTTCAAATATCCCCATAAAAAGCAGTCCAAGCGAGTCAAATCGCACGATCTTGGTGGCCATGACACATTTCCTCTGCGCGAAATCACGCGATCACCGAAGAAGGACTGCAATCGATGGATATTGACGTTGGTTGTGTGTCATGTTGCACCGTCTTGTTGGAAATAAACATCGTCCATATCCATTCCTTCAAGTTGCGGCAAAAAATAGTACTCTGTCATCACGTGATATCGCTCAGAATTGACGGTAACGGCGTCCCCGGCCGCATTTTCGAAAAAGTAAGGTCCGATGATGCCTCTTGACCACAATGCACACCACACAGTCACTTTTTGAGGATGCATCGGCTGCTCTTGATACTCACGGGGATTTTCGTTCGCCCAGATGCGGCAGTTTTTCTTGTTTACCGCCCCATTCAAAGTGAAATGCGCTTCGTCGCTCAACATGATTTTTGATGAAAAATTGGCATCAATTTGACGGTGTTCAAGGAGCCAATCTGAGAACGTTCGGCTCTAAAAATGGTCGGCCCGACGCAGCTCTTGTGTCAATTGGATCTTGTAGGCGTGTACATTCAAATCGTTGTGGAGAATGCGGAGCAAACTGGTTCTCGAAATGCCCAGTTCTTGGGATCGACGCGTTGTTGATTGTTTCGGATCGTCTCTCACACTCTCCTTCACAACAGCAATATTTTCCGGTGTGCGAACGCTCCTTGGCTGGCCAGAACCTGGCAGATTTGCCACAGAACCTGTTGCCTCGAATTTACGCATCAGACGACCGATGGTTGTTTCGTTTGGGCGGTTGTTGCGACCGAAATGTTCACGAAGCGCGCGAAACGTGTTGTTTATTTTTGCACCATTTTTGTGGTGCTCTTGAATAACTTTAATGCGGTCTTCAATCGAATACGACTCCATAGCGATCAATGGTAAACATTCAACTAACAAAATGACATGTCGGTGACAGAAAACAAAGATGGCGTCTATGTCAAATTGACGTTTACTTTCCTGCGTCCCTATTGGACAACCCTTTATTACAGTTGAAACACTAAGAATCTGTTTTCCCTGATCACCTCTATTCGCACGATACTGACCTCTAACTCTATGACGAATATGTGCTCTGTCATGCTTTAAAAAAACTCAATAAATCCCAAATAAAAATATCCTGGATTTTACTTTTCACTGCATGTTTATGAAAGAACATTTTTTCCAAAAACTGCTCTAAGAACAAAATTCTAAGACATTTTGTTTTAGAATTTATTATGATTTTGTAACGTGTCGTAGCAAGTATTCGTCACAGGGCTAGAGGTCAGTATCGGGCGAATAGAGGTGATCAAGGTAAATAGTAAACTGTCAGATTACTGATGGCTTTATTGGAATATTTTTCTTGGCCGATTTTGGTGATAAGAAATTTAGTCTGCCAAGGCTAAAACAAGGGGCCAAGGTTCATGCAACTAGCGATAAAACATCTTGATGAAAACATTATTTTTAACAGTACTTTTCGCAAATAAAAAATTTTTTGATTCACGCAACCAACATTCCCGTAGAGCAACCATTTTCACACGTTTCCACCATACAATTTCGTCCATTTATTTACAAACATTTTGTGTGAGAAAGTAACACAGATGAACTCGATACACTCAAAAAAAGAAAGAAAAAGATAAGTAAATAGACAAAGTGGAAAGAACAAGTGGTTACAATAATAGTCACTTAATAACAATACTAGCCAACAAAGCAAAATGGTATGACACAAAACAATGCCTTTGAATTATCCTATCAGCGGTTTCCTAGGTATTAACCTGACAGCATGAAAGGCAAAGCCTATTTTGAAAGAAGGCCGAGCAATGGACTCGCAACGTAGAGCTCATGTTATGTCTGAAATTTCTCTGATTAATGTTACCGCTTGGTGACAGCGTTTCTAAAATATACAGTAGCTTCTTAGTACGAAATAGTTTATGGACATGACTATATTTTCGAAGTTCAAACACAGATCAGGAGTAGCAGTTTTGAATTTTCCGCAACCTATACCGATCCGATGACTCTAAATAACATTAGAATAAAATTAAAGAATATTGCAACGATTACAGTATCAAACATTCAACTAATTTTCACTCGTCTGAAAGTACAAAATGTATCTTTTGGAGTATAACGGTTTCAATTTTTAATAGTACTTCAAACGTTTATCTCTAGGAAGTATAATGAGACTCTCAGCTAATGCTGTCCTCTAATTATAACAGAAGCCTGCTTCCTTGTGTTTACAATCTGATTTGTGTATTATAATAAGCGTAACGTTATCAAACCAATTGTGTGTTGTCTTTCACACCCGTTCTATGTAACGTAAACCGCCAAGGATGCCTGGTGACGATGGGAATGAGCGGCGATGCGGCCGTGGGGATCTCCTCTCTGCCATACCGGCGCATCGCCGTTCGTACCGCATCCTCTCTTTTTTAATGGCTCAGTAATAGTACCGGCATTGCGGCGGTCGGTAGTACGACCGAGTGTACTCACGCCGCCTGTACTGTTATATTGTCGTCCGCAAAGGTTACGAACGTGATCTGTTCGTCTCTCAATACAACGACCGATCGTCAATTCCAAGTGGTACCGCGCAACAACGGGAACCACCGATCGTCGTACCCTGTGAATGTGCGTTGTGGTACCGGTCGGTAGGTCGACGATCCATGTGTGATATTTTGTGTCAGTGCATCGACTTTTACCAGTGACCTGCCATTGACAGTCAGTAGACTTACTGAAATTCCTGCAAGGATATTGGATTGTAGTACCTACGTTCAAAATGTAAGCATTAAATGAGCAGTGTTAAAACATTGCTGTTATTTGAACTGTTAAGGATTAACTGATACAACACCTCTTCATTACTACCGCGTGAAATTAAACCACTGGAAATTAGCATCCTCCGGAAGAAACTCAAGGAGTAGCTTATAAAAAAAGCTTTTTACCATCATGAAGAAAATCTCCAGTATGATTTGAACGACTTTATCTCTTAATTTAATAATAACAATAATAATAATCGTCTAATAAGAGTTGCAGATAGTGACGAAGTTTAGCAACACGCTACTCTTACACTTAATCACCAATGCATAAAAAGTAAAAGATGTTAAGTAGCAGATATGAATAACAAAAAATGTATATACGTATATGTATTACAAAAAAGTTTACTATATATACACAATGAAAGAAAAAAGGTTAACAACAAAGACAAGAGCAACGTATTTAAACTATGGATCCATGGTTACTTGAGATTTAACAGCCTTCTTGAAGCAACTTAAGGCCATGTTTTTAAATGCACGACTCAAAGCCTTCTATAAAACTGCAACACTGTAGGTGAAATAACGCTGAAATAAGGCTGTTGAGTGAATAGTCGTAGTTATCATATTTGGAAATCTAATATCATGTATATTACACCTAAAGATCAGCTTTCCTCTTGAGTACTTAGGCTTGGACATAAGTATTAGTTTGTGAATGAATACAAGATAATGATATTTGAGAGTATTTTTTGTTCTCATCCAGTTTTATTCTATAACACTACCAGACGCATTGTCAAAGTGCGTAAACTCACAATTTGAATCCGATCTCTAGTAATAACATCAAGACACGGATTGTATAAAATATCACAGTAGTTGAAAATTGGCAAAGATGAGCACCATTTTTTTCTCAGTTTAAAATTGAAAACTGCTTTATTAGCATATAGTGATCTGAGTCTCAAATACCATAACTGGTGAATCTAACTTTGAAATCAATAATTACGCAAAGAATTTTAACCTCATCAACCGGCTACAGTATCTTCAATTCCAATCCAATTTTAACAGCTAGTTGACTCTTGATTTCTCCTCTTGAATAATCAGAACAACAAAATAAAGGCTAGATTGAAACGGATTTATTGTCAGGTTGTGGTTATCTGAAAATCCATATACTTTTTGAATATCCCAGTTAAATGATGCCATATCAATAGTGGACCAGTTGAGTACCGTCCGCCAAAGTCTAGAGGCTACAAAAACAACAATGGACCCAAAACAGGTACCTGAGGTACCTACTCCAGACGAGAATTCCAGAAAACTAGATTTGTTGCTATCAATTGACATGCGCTGCGATCGATTTGATATATAATTACAACAAAAATTCAGTGCAGTTGAATCTATGCTATAATACTTCAACTTCGCTATTAACAACTTGTATTTTGTCAAATGCATTGAAGTAATCGGTTGACATCACAGCTACTACCATTTTTTTATCAATTGCACTAATAGCATTACGAACTTAGTTTGGGAGGGAAGTAATATGTATTGATTTTTGTTCTATTTAGACCACGTGACTTTTTAGTGGCCCATAAACAGTGCCAAATCTTTTCAGGATATATTTTTATTCTTAGAGAGATTTATATAACTTTTTAATGCGTATTTTATTCATTTTATTCTTAGTATGATCAGTGCC